CCTTGATTCAAAAGTGGGCTTCTTTGTTACTTGAGGCCCTGGTGACAAGATAAAAGAGAAAATATCAGTTCACACTCCAGAAGAATTTAAAACTACAACTAAACAGGAGAAACAATGTTCACTTACTGGAAGCTTTCTGTTTTTTCCTACCCGCCTCAGCTATAGAAGCAAAAGACTTGGAGGATTTAGATGACTAAGCTCGAGTTCTTTTCTTCGTGGGAGTTGCTCGCGAACCTAATATGGAGAGTTGAACTCGAGGTCACTCGTCGGGCTAGGACTCTGAAGTCTCTACCATGGTTGTTCTTGTCCGCCAAGTAGCCCGAACCTCCACTTCAGGCTTAGCCTCAACCTCCGACTCTCCAAAAAGTTCAAAGATGTCTCCATTTCCAATGCCTTGCCACGCAGCCTCGGCTGCAGCTTCTTGGAGTACAAAGGCGTTCTCAGCCTCTTCATTTAGCCCAACATCCACTTCTTCAGTGTTACCTTGAGCTACAAGTTCAAAATAACCAAGAAAGATATTAGAAGAGGGCAGGATGATAAAAATGTCATAAATACAAAGTTAAAAGAATAAAAGGTACCTATTAGGAGAAGTTAGTTCTTCTGGTGAATCATCTCTTTCTAATTCTCGAGCTCACTTGAGCTGGGATAGGATTTAATTAAGAGTTGCCCGAAGAAAAGGTACCTATTATGAGAAGTTGGTTCTTCTGGTGAATCCCCTCCATACTTTTTGGTCCACTTTGCTTCCCACCAAAAAGATAATGATAAGGTGCATTCAAAGTTTAAAACCATGGGCTTTTGGGCAATTTTGCTCATAACTTCCAGACTGCGTCGAGCAGCTCCAAAGATGGCTTCTTGTGGTGAACGGAGACGATATGAGGTGCCGCAATGAACATAGTCGAAGAAGGGCATCGGGATGGCTTGTCTAAACCCCAACCTTCTAGCGCAGAAATTGGGGTGGTAAACTCCAGCCTGCACTCATATCGATCACTGCAGACTCCTCATGCCAGATCCTTTTGACTAGATGCAGCTGATAAATTTTTTCTTTGCAAAAGGGGATGGCGTCTTCTCCGAAAGTTTGGTCGAAAAACCAAAGATACCTTCTAAGAACTGAATGTCACATCCCAGTCTCAACTCCATCGTAGCACAATATTGTCTGCTTTGGGCCCCGACCACGCCCTCACAGTTTTGTTTCTGGGAACTCACACGAGAACTTCCCAATGGGTTACCAATCATAGGATTGCTCTTACCCGAACTCGCTTAACGTCGGAGTTTTGATGGAACCCGAAGCCAGTGAGTTCCCAAAAGGCCTCGTGCTATAAGGAAAGCAGCATGTACATATAAGGCATATCACCATTTCTCCGTTGGTCGATGTGGGATGTTACAATCCACCCCCTTAGGGGCCTGACATCCTGGTTGACACACTCGCACCACATGGCAGAGTGGCTCTAATACCATTATGTCACATCCCAATCTCGACTCCGCTGTAGCATAATATTGTCCACTTTGGGCCCTGGCCACGCCCTCACGGTTTTGTTTCTGGGAACTAACACAAGAACTTCCCAATGGGTCATCCATCCTAGGATTGCTCTCGTCCGAACTCGCTTAACTTCAAAGTTCCTATGGAACCCGAAGCCAGTGAGTTCCCAAAAGGCCTCGTGCTATAGGGAGAGGAGCATGTACATATAAGGCACATTACCCCCTCTTTGTTAGTTCATGTGGGATGTTACACTAAAGCTCCCCACTCTAAGTCTGCCTGTGTCCTGCAGACTCTGAAGAAGTAAAGGCAGGCAAATGTAGAATGGTTAGTGGGAAAGGCCTCAGCTAAGATGCGGGCAGGAGCAACACCTTCTAGGAATTCTAGATTTGATGCCCGAAGTTCAGGGAAGAACCACTGCAACCACAACTGAACCATCCAGGTTGGTCAATTGAGATTGGATTCAAATGGTTTACCCTTGGTTATTTCAAAGATGAGATGGTAGAGATGAGTAAAGAGAAAGAGGCCCATTTGGCCACGTCATCAAAATTATGAAGAGCTTCCACCGGAGGGATCCACTCAACTTTTACTTCTTTGGATTTGTTGGGGAAGACATGCTTGTTGAGCCAGTATAATAGAAAATACATATGCTCCTGATCTATGTTAGCATTGGAGGATGTCGGGCCAAAATTCTTCTTGACAAACAGGATAAAACCCGTGAAGGAAGTCCCATAACTCTTGAAGTTCGAAGAGTTGTAGTCTAACTGAGTTAAGGGATCAGATGTGCCCGAGCTCTCAGCAATCAGGCGAAAAGGGGGAGACCAGTCATGAGTGACATCTACGACTCTGCCCGAGGGCCTTAGCCCAAAGACTTGAGCCATGTCGAGAATGGTCAGGGACATGGGGCCCATCCTGAAGTCAAAAGTATTGATGCCCGAATTCCAGAAGAGAAGAGTCATGGTCAACAGTTTAGGCTTGGTAATTACAGTAGTCTTAGACAACATAATTAGCCTGTATATGCCGTTGTTCATCCATTTCTTCTTGAAGGTGGGCTTGAGCTCATTTACCCACTTCACCCAAGCTTCATTATTCATCAAAGGAAATCCTCGTCGATGGGTAAAACATTTAGAGGAAAAAATACGAGCTTCGACCAAAAATGGGTTTGGGGTGAACCAATTTGCCTTAGGCATGTTATTTTCCACAGCAATGGGGACCTGAGAAGCCCATGCAGGTCCCAATGAGTATACTCTTCCCTTTTCAAAGAAAAGTGAGGTATGAAGGCCAGCCGGAAGGCGATGAAAGCCGTTAAGCAAGCAGCGCATAGTGTTAAGGCCTTCACCTGTTCGCAGGAAGATTGAGTCCGAGCAACCTTGGGTGCCATTGGATGATTTTAGAAATGATAGAAGAAATTTGAAGGTAAGAAGCAAGAAGGAGCATAGAGTACGAGAGTTATGAGAAAATCTGGGAAACTTGGAAATTCAAAGGTTTGGAGTTGCTAAGGTATTTGGTCGAGGGGTTAACTAAAGATTATATAGTAATTCAGTTAATTAACGTTGGAATTCGTGGGTTAGTGCAAAGGTTTTGTTAAAACGTACGGTTGCTTTGAATGGTGCAAGTCTCGAGTAAAGGCATGCGGCGGCTGTTTAATCATCATTAACACCTCGATTTGCATACTCAACAATTATTAAAATGGGTATTGTTTAGGTTAATATTTGAATATTGGGCCTTAATGAAGGAAAACCTAAGGATCCCAACTAAAAAGGAGATTTGCCCAAAGCCCAGCATCAAGCCCAAGAGCAAATTGAAGCTTTTTCAGCCATTATACAAGCCACGTATCTATAATTGAAATGACAAGTAATGGAGACTAACCTACTACCAGCCAAAGAATACTTTCCATTGGCATTGTTAGTAAAAAGTTTATGACTCACTACCCTCTAAGTGTTTTCGGGCAAGAGCAAAAGCTACAGCAGTTAGGCCAAATTGTCTATAAAAGGAAAAATAGGCCCCAGAGTCAATGACATTCAACCAACCAAACAAACAAATATACAAACTCTGCTCTCAAGCTAGATTTGCATCCAAAAGCTGAAATCAATCCAGATTCAGTCCTTTTTAGTAATAGTTCTCTGAAAAAAGCTATCTCTTGTCTAGAATAAAAGCTCTGCTACCTCCCTTAGTGTTGTAGTATTGATTCCCTCGTGTAAACTTGTTTGCCATCCATCCCTTTTTAGCATACAAACCCTGTAAATTCAAAGAGAAATGACTGCAAGAAGTTCAACCTTGCTAGACAAGGTGAAATCTTACCCGTAGCTCTTTGTTTGTTTTCTGAATTAGTAGATCTATTGTTTAATGCATTCTCCAACATGTATTCAAGTTATTTCCACCTATTTTTCTATTTTAAGACTCTCATTTGCATCTGGATCTGGTTAGCTTGATGGATATGTTTTCATTAAATGTAATATGGAACCAAACAAGTAACTTAAGGGGCTCTAGACTCCTTTCATTCGAACATACAAGACTATGAACTAAAAGTCATTTTTCACAAGGCAAGAAAAAGAACTTAATGTGGACTTAACCTATCCATGACAATCCTTTGATAGCAAGAAGTTTAAGTAACTTATGGCGCAAGTAATCAACTTAAAACACACTTGTTTTATATCTACTATACTGAGATAGTAGTGACACACCTAGCACTTAGTTAGTTTTGATTTTGAGCCTCAAGGCCTACACCTAAGGCCCCACAAAGGCACCTTTCAAAACTAATTTTGTTCTCTTCTTGTAGCAAATCAACAAGAAAGAGCCCGACTACACATCTAAAGTGACAATCCCTTAGGGCACTGTGCTAAGGTCCAAGAGCTTTCTCTAGAGAAATCTTTGCCCAAACAATTCTGATAACTGGAGTTCGCATGCTTGTTTTGCCATTAGATGTACTAGTCATTCATCAGTCATCCAGTTAATAAATGTTTCACTGATCTTGTACACAGTCAAGGCTCGTGAAAATGGTTAAAGAGGCTACTGCAAATATTCCTAGGTGGGACAGATTAACAAGTGGTTGAGTTTGTTAAGGATAGTATTGTTAACTACATTGAAATGTTTGGGAATTGAAGAGAAAATCAAGAAGGAAGATGAAGAGGGATGAACACATAGACCTTAGAGAGAGAGAAATATGATTTGTATTGACTGAAGAATGAATATTACACAATTACACACAATGTTTTTATACTAGTAAGCTTAACAACTCTAACCAAATACTAACAAACTTGCTAACTATTTTCTAACTATATTATTGACTTGTACCCTTAATACTCCCCCTCAATCTTAACTGGAAAACCCAGTTTGAGATTGGAAGAACATATGCAATTACTGCTATGAAACCAGAAAACAGAACACAGAGTTGAATCATCTGCAATCTTGCAAGTTTGAGACAGCCATATGGAACTTTCCTCTGGTTTTTGTAACTGCAACCTGTCCTGCCCTTGCCCCCTTACCAAAAGCACCATTTAGCCAAGCTGCTCCAACGGTCACATACCTACTTGTTTTGATAGCAGAACACAGAGTTGAACCATCTGCAATCTTGCAAGTTTGAGACAGCCATATGGAACTTTCCTCTGGTTTTTGTAACTGCAACCTGTCCTGCCCTTACCCCCTTACCAAAAGCACCATTTAGCCAAGCTGCTCCAACGGTCACATACCTACTTGTTTTGATAGCTGACCCCCTATCATTAAATTTTCTCTCTATTGCAAATATTGCTGCCATTATTTTATCTGAGACATGAAGCCTCTGATCAACAAAATTCACTTTCTCATTAACCACAGAAATGCCTACTGTTAATTTCTCTGTAAGCCCCGCTTTCCTGTCAAAGGAAATAACCTTCTCTGATGCACTTGCTATCAATCGATGCTTTTCATCAAATGCTTTAGCCTTGTTCACGACATCTTGTCCAATAGCCAAACCCTTTGCAAACATAAGTGATTGTCCACACATCCAAAAGTCTAATATTCCTCTGCCTTTGATAGGAGCTTCACAACGAACAGCTTCTTATAAAGTTGTAACACACCCTCATGCCGGTTATAACAATTTCTTGCGGGTTTACCCGTCGTGGGATTTCCCGTCAACAATCTCATTGAACTTCGCTTCAACCTTTAATATTTACAAAAATAGAAAATTAACAAACTATAGTGTGGCATCAGCCTTAACTATAGCACCACGGGATCTCCCTTTGTCGATTTTATTAAAAAACAACTTCTTTGAACAATGGCATCAACCTTCACAAATTCAACAACAGAAAATCAACATCTATGTAGGATTACCCTTCGTGGGATTTACCATTAACAATTTCTTCTACCCTTCGTGGGTTTTACCTATTCACGTCACAGAATTACCCTTCGTGTGATTTATCTTTAACAACTTCTTCAAACTTCATCGTATAATCGGACTTACAGTAAATACATGTTGTAACTAACCTTGTTAGACTTGATATTATAGATTGTTTTGTGTTCTGTCAGAGATTAACTTCACTTCCAAAGAGGCTTGGAAATCTATAGTCGTATAGCTTGAGCACCCAAAACTAATTGTGCAACTGATCGGATACAAAGAATAATTAGTCATTCTGTATGAATACTTAGATGGCCTTCAAGTGCCTGACTCATTGATTCGAATTCAACATCAATTCTACTGTTTCCATGATATCCACATCCATTTTCATTTCTTCCAAGTAAAAGACACCCATATCTCTGTCAATTTTCTCTTCTCCATAATCACCAAAAGTCTCAAGAATCACTCAATAATGAAGAAGCAAATGAAGTACAGACAACAAGACATGGTTGAAGCAAATCATCGAACACCTGGTGTGCGAAATTACCACGAATATCTACTTGCTTCACTAACCCGATCATGAATCCAGAAAATCGGAAGAAGCGACAGAGAAAGCACACAGATTTCAATTACTAATGGCTTCGTGCACAACTTTCACTTCCCAAGCAAAATGGGAAAAAATAAAAATAAATAAATAAATAATAAATAAAAAATTTAGAGTACACTACTTCAAAAATTAACCAGAAACAACAATTCCATATTTTGCATAATTTAGAATGAACCAAGAATTCATATGGACAAATCCTCAAGAAAGTGAAATTGAACCAAGAATTCATAATGAAATCATACCAAAACTCCAAATATGTCACCTTGCTAAAAAACTTAACCTTCACATGAGACTTTTAAGCTGGGCATTTCGGCAAACACTTAGACTACACAAAAGTCTAAACTTTCTTCCACAATAGGCATAGTGATAGACATTAGAGAAATGAACCGATCAAAGTATGTAACGAACACCGAAATGATGTTGTTCTGTTGAGAGCCCATGTGATAGATTATGATCGAACTTCCGAAACCCAATTAGGAATGATAAAAGCTTCATCTTTCTGGAACCCAAATCCAATCTCTATATGGATTAAGTTGTTGATTTTGTCGTCTGGGTTTTCAACCGGCACCTCATCATACAAAAATTCAGGATTTTCTTGGCAAGAAAAGTCTGACGATAAAGGATCTTCATCATTGCCACTATCCATTGTTTCTTTCTTGGCAAAAAAAACTCTAGAAAAGCTAGTAGCAATGGAATCAAATGATATGAACTCAGTGAGTCACCTAGGCATTTTTGCCCAAATCTGACGGACCAACGCAGAGAAAGATTCAGCTGCGGTTTCACGGCTGCAGAATATGATTCTAGGATCGGAGAGAACGAAAATTCCCAGATTCAAGATCAAAAAATTCAAGAACTGAAAATCAACCTAGAAGTTACAGGATGATCGCGGAAGCACCGAAGAACTTGACAGAATTTCTGAAGAAAATCTGAAGAGAAAATAAAACTAGAAGATGAAATCTAATAAAAAAAAAAAGGAACCACCAGAATCCATAGCGTGAGCCTGGTGGCTCTGATATCATGTTAACTACATTGAAATGTTTGGGAATTGAAGAGAAAATCAAGAAGGAAGATGAAGAAGGATGAACACAGAGATCTTAGAAAGAAAGAGTTTAGAAAGAGAAATATGATTTGTATTGACTGAAAGAATGAATATTACTCATAGACATTGGAGATGTCATGTCAAAGGTTTGCCTATTCTCCACTCTAGTTCTTCTACATTACATACTCCTCATCATAATTTTCAACTTCGAAATGTGTTACATGTTCCTGATTTGAAACAAAATCTGTTTTTTGTGAATCAGTTTCTTGTTGATAATTGGTGTTCTATGCATCTTTATCCTTTTCACTTCGTTGTGAAGGATATGTCTTAAGGGAAGATGCTCTTTAAAGGTCCTATGAGAGATGGCTTCTATCCATTTCAACCACAGCCTTCCAGTTATGTGATCCACAATCACAATGTGTTTGCTGCTTCTATTAACTCATCTAGATATATTTGGCACCAAAGATTTGGCCATCCTTCGATGAAAATTCTCAATAAGTTGGCTACTAAGTCTTGTATTTCATTTTCTAGTGGTTCCAATATGTCTTTCTGTAATGGTTGTGCCTTAAGCAAAAGTTCCAGATTACCATTTGCTTATGTACCTTGTCATACTAGTAAACCTTTGGAGCTACATCACACAGATGTTTAGGGGCCAACATCTGTCACTTATGTGAAAAATTTCAGATACTATGTCATCTTTGTAGATGCTTTTACAAAATATTGTTGGCTTTAACCTTTGCAATATAAATCTTATGTATTTCCTACTTTTGTTAAGTTCAAATGTCTTGTTGAGAACTTGTTGCATACTAAAATTGTTGCTCTCAGATCAGATTCTGGTGGGAATATCTTAGCACTCAATTCTCTAATTTCCTTGTTAAGAATGGTATCAATCATCAACTCAGTTGTCCTCACACTCCTCAACAAAATGGTTGTGCTAAACGCAAACACAGACATATAGTTAAGACTGCCAGAACACTTTTAACAGTTTCTAAGGTCCCTTACACCTGTTGGGATCATGCTTTTTCAACTGTTGTGTTTCTAAGAAACAGATTACCTACTGTACCCAAATTATCTCCATGGGAACGTCTCTTCCACAAATCACCTAACTATGCCACTTTGAAGGTTTTTGGGTTAGTTGTTTTCCATGGCTGCAACCTTACTCCGAGTCTAAATTGGATCCCAAAAGCAAGCTCTGCGTGTTCCTTGGTTACAATCTCAATTACAAAGGTTACAAATGTTTGGATCTCACTACCAACAAGTTATACATCTCACGAAATGTAATCTTTGAAGAAGGCAGTTTTCCCTTTCACAATCTTGCATCTTCACAGTGCTCTCTTTCCCCAGCAGCAGTTTCATCTCTTAATACCATTCCCACTCACCTCACATTCACTCAACCACAGATCCATTCCTCTATACCGTCATCTCCATCTTCTTTATTGCCAAGTAGCTCTTCTCCAACAACCATATACTTACATCTCACTCAGTTCCTACTAATACTCACCCTATGCAAACCAGGTCCAAATCTGGTATTTACAAACCAAAAGTCCTTTCTGCAACCAAACACCCTCTCCCTTCTCATCGTTCCAATGAATTTGTTCCCACTACATATCTCCAAGCTTCCAAATATCCACATTGGGTTAAGGTAATGCAGGAGGAGTTTTTTGCCTTGCAACAAACTGGTACTTAGTCTTTAGTACCCAAAATTGCTCATCAAAACATTGTGGGATGTAAGTGGGTATTTAGGATTAAAAGAAAACCTAATGGTACCATAAATAGATACAAAGCTTGCTTAGTTGCCAAAGGTTTTCATTAGCAAGAAGGACTGGATTATACTGAGACTTTTAGTCTAGTAGCCAAGCCTGTGACAATTCGACTCCTACTCACTCTTAATGCCCAATTTGATTGGAGTCTCAGTCAACTAAATGTAAGCAATGCATCTCTACATGGGACATTGTCTGAATCTGTTTATATGCAACAGCCACTTGGTTTTGAAGATGCTATTCATCTTATTCATAGTTTTCAATTGCATAAATCCTTATATGGTCTTAAACAGGATCCCCAAGCCTGGTATGAAAAACTCCATGGAGCATTGCACACCCTTGGCTTCACTGGTTCTAAATCAAATCATTCATTGTTTGTCAAAATGGATCCTATGGTCTTTGTTCTGGTATATGTTGATGACATTATTGTCACAGGGCCATCTGCAGCAGCTTGCAAGCATGTTATTTCTCAACTTAGCTCTCTCTTTCCCATTAAAGACCTTGGTGCACTTCATTGTTTTTTGGGAATTGAAGTCAAGCGATCCTCCAAAGGCATCTTTATTTCACAAACCAAGTATATCTTGGATCTGTTAAAAATGGCTAATATGGTTGGAGCAAAACCATGTGCTACCCCACTCAGTACATCCAAGCTGGATCATTCTTCTCCGTTGCTTGACAATCTTGCAGAATATCAATCTTTGGTTGGTGCATTACAATATCTCACTTGGACTCAGCCAGATTTATCATTTGCAATCAACCTTGTTTGTCAATTCATGCACAATCCAAGGCAGTCTCATTTTCAAGCAGTCAAAAGGATCCTTGGTCTTTGGTTTACAAAATCTATCTCTGTTCCATCTCTCAAAGCCTTCTCAGATGCTGACTGGGCAGGTTGCACACTTGATCGAAGATCAATTGGTGGTTATTGATTTTTCTGGGTTCATCTATCATCAGTTGGAGTGCTAAGAAGCAACCAACAGTGACTCGTTCTTCAACAGAGGCGAAGTATCGATCTCTAACTAATACTGCAGCTGAAATTACATGGATATGCCAATTACTTGCTGATATTGGTTTCCATCTTCCATGTACTCCTTAACTCTGGTGTGATAATCAATCAGCTATCTCTCTTTGCCAAAAATCCTTCATCTCATGCTAGAACAAAGCATGTAGAGATCGACTACCACTACATTCGAGAAAAGGTATTATCAAAGGCCATCTCAATCCATTTTATCTGCACTCAATATCAAATTGCAAATATCTGCACAAAATCTCTATCCAAAGACTTGTTTCAGCTCTTAAGGTCCGAATTGTCTCTTCGAACTCCTCAGTACAGTTTGAGGGGGGATTTTTATTTTTTTCTCCCAGATATCAAGATACGGTTTAAGAACTTGGAATTCGAGATGGGCAAAATAAATTGAAATACAGAAATGCTCAAACTTCATTTGATTATTTCATTTCTTTCCTTGGATTTGTACAACTAGATAAATATATGATTGCTCTTTTACATATGCACCCGAGGATCCACTGCCAGATTTCTATGGGTGTTCTGGTGAAGTTCTGGACGATCTCGAAGTAAGGGAGGTTTCATCTGGACAATCCGCTCCTCATTAACTCCCATTCTCTTAGCGTAAAGCCCCCCTTCAAAGAATCCTTTAACTGCATCATCTGCGTATTTCTTCCCATCCTTGACCGTCATCGCCTTCCCTGTCTTTTGGGGGTAACTTGTAAATATGTTGTCTCCTTTTAGAACTGCCGCGAGTTGTATCATCTCCTGCTGAAATTCTGTAAGCTTGGCATCTTCGTTAGGCTCACTCTTTCTGATGGCGACTGGTGTTGGCAGTTGCTCTAGTCAAAATTCAGACAATTGAGATGAACATATTATTAACCGTAGTCATTAGTGATGACATGGCTGGTTCCTTGGTAGTGAAAATTAGAAGTAGTTAAAATGTGTTGTTAGGTTGTTATAAGGATAAGGTTGGTTAAGTGTTGTTAGAGGGTATTATTGTAATTGAGCTCATCAGTTTAGCTCTATAAAACCAAATGTAAACAGCCATTTATGGTTAACCAGAAATATATCTCATTCTCTCTCGTCTTTTCTTCAAAAGTTCTTTTCTTTGTTCTTTGTTCTGTGTTCTTTAGAAAGTTATCATGGTATCAGATATTACAAATCCATTCGCCATGCAGGATTCATGCATCAACGTTACATGTAATATTTTCCTGTTTTGTTAGTAAAATGTGACTTACCTGGGCAGTCAGTTCGGGGTTCTGTCCGTGTTTGGACAATGCCTTCAAAGGTACAAGCCCATTCATCCCTCTTTGTTAGGAAGGGTGCAGTTAGGTTGAAGATCTTCTTGACTGTTGCGGGAATAGACGAGTGTTCAAATTCCGAAGTCAGAAATGGCGATCCATTAGGACCATGAACGACTGCAGTCATCATCATCAATGCAAAAAATAAGCTACTAACCATAAGAGTTATTTAAAATTTAGCATGCAGATATACTTCCTAGATACCAAAGCTTGGGAGTATTAGTTCCTCACAGACACATATATATAGCTGATTAAGTTATCAACCAAAGTAGTTTGTTGTTCGTTGACGATGTAGACGACCCATCCCATACAAAAAGGCAATGTGAAATGGGCACCAAATTCTGGAAGCAATGCAAATATGAACATGGAACAGCTGTACCCACAAACTGAGGTTTGTGCCATTTGATTGTTACTTTTTACTTCTAACTTATGTTATCGACTGGTGGCTTATAATAATATAATGTATAATATAACATGACACACGTTTGATACATAGGATTGACTTGACTTGAACTAATTGCGGGGATTAGCTTGAATTTGTTTGGCCTGTCTTCGTTCTGTTTAGATCCCTCATTTTAAATGGCTTTAAATAAGCCCGCAACAAATATGTATAATCTCAATTTATCCAATTGTTAATCAATCAAATTCCCATGTTTAGTTCATGTTGGGATAATTGTTAAATAACTCAATCTAGTCTTAGTCCGGTGAAACAAACGTCCCCTCGTGTAATATGAACTCTAGTGATGACAGGAGGTGGGATTAGGACAAGGATTATGATAGATATAGGTTTCGTTCCCTCCAAGTGTATAATCTAAAAAAAAAAAATTAGATACTAAAAAGACACATTCTATGACCAACTTGAACAATTTCATGTGTTGATATTTTGAACTATTTGGTTGATATTTTGAATTACTTTACCAATGTGTTATATCTTTCTATGAACTCCAAATGCTGACTAACATTAAAACTCAGAATAATATGAACATAGAATATTTAAGCAGAAAATCACATGTCAATCATTTAATTAGCTTAAAATTTGAAATTAAGCAAGAAGCAGCAGTACTCACCTGTACCCTTCTCTATCCATGGTGAGACCATGATCGTTGGAACCCTAACTCCCAACCGGTCAAACTGAAAGAAGAAAGGTTCCGGCCCCACGATCCTGTCAGGGCTGGGGACTCCACGAACCGGTGTAGGCACATGATCATAGAAACCCCCATGTTCATCATACGTGATGATGAATAGGGTGTCGTTCCACTGAGGGCTTGCTCTTAGTGTCTCGTACACCTCCTTTACAAACATTTGCCCGTGGTACACGTCATGGGAGGGATGATCGTCATTTGCAGGTGCACTCTTGATGTCAAAGTACCTCTGTTCTATGACGGTGTACCCGGGTAGTTTCCCTTCGTTTGCATGTCTCTTGAAGGTTTTGTACCGATGGAACTTGAATATGTACTTGACCTTCCTCAAGTTCCTGTAGAACAATGTAGATGGAATGTTTTGGTAGTATATCCCGAAGGATATTCCCGCGTCATCGAGGTTCTGGAAGATGGTTCTTTGAGGGTAACCCTTGGCGAGAAGGGCTGGGATGTTGCTTGTTGCACCAGCTGATGTCCCTGAATGCACGTAGAGCCGATTCGGCTGTGTTGAGGTTGGCAGTGAGGCGAACCACCTTAACAAAATTCTTATGTTAATTGCTTGGGACAGCCGACAATGTAAAGTAAAACAGTAACACTATATTTGGATGAATAAATTTAAGATTACTAAGAAATTTTAAAGTAATGGAAATTAAATTGACGGGATTTTATTTTCTAGAATTTGGAAATTTTCTTGTTTGGTTAACCTAAAAGAACAATAGAATTAAATACGGAATTTGTTATTTTTAAGCTCTCAATCATAGAAATTGGGGAATGACACATATTTAATTACAGGGAATTTAAACTTGGGAATTGGAAGTTCCAAATTCCAAATTTTTTTTTTCCACGCGGAAATTCTAGATTCTTATGTTTATGAATCCGACAAGGGAAATGGTGCATCTCAATATACAAATTCTGATTTTTATCCAAATTCCAATTTATTTCCCTCATCCAAACATAGTGTAAAACTTCAGAGTGGCAAATAATACATGCACAAAATGATTATTTGGCACATGAATTAGATCTTACGCCAATGTGTTACCACTGGCGTATCCATATAGGAACCCAAAGGGTCTCAACCCTTTGGAAGCCCAAATAAACACTTTTGACCTTTGGGACCCTCCAACAATTTGGGCAGGTGCATTGGAGAGGCTTGTTGCCTCCATGGATGTGCAAGCAACCGTGCTTATAACAAAGAAGAAGAAGAAGAAGAGGTTTTAAATTTTTGTTTTAAAAGACCTAGCCAAAACCACAGCGTCTTTGAACCAACTCATTATAAGAAATTTAAAAACTAAAATATCTCTGTTTTCTCTACAGAGCTCGAGAACCACAAGCTTTTCCAGTATCCCCAAATTATATTTAAGAACTCTCAGCCCCAATCGTCACAACCTTCCAACTTTAAACCCAAGTTACCCTATTCCCCACCACCATTTGTTGTTCCACTGCCTTTAGCTACCTAATTTTATTTCTTCCAAATATATAAGTTTTTTAATCCTAGACTCTAGTCCCAACTCCCAATTAATAATATATATATATATATTTATATATATATCTTACATTAACAAATTTTATCGTTGTAGAGTCACTAATTGCGTTATGTTGCTAAGGAAAATTTGTTGGTTTTATTACCTTTGAGATTAATCTTGATTTATTTAATGAACCAAATTCTATAGAAAATAGTGATATGGAACCAAATTAGTTTAATAATTTTTTTTTAACTTTTATGTTGGGACCCCCGATCTTGAAATCCTAGATCCGCCACTGTGTGTTACATAAACGTTTTCTATAGTTTTTTTTTTTTTTTAACTAACGTTAAGAGAATGTATAATAAATTACAATAAAGAATATTTGAACACAATACCTCAAATGTATAAACAAATACTCTTAATGTTAAAAAATTTTAGAAAATAAAAGCAAAATAGTGAAAACAGTGTGCTCAAAGTCATAATCTAACAAATACACCTGGCACTTTCTTATACGACCCATTAACAAGACAATTAAACGACACGAAAGTAACAAGTTTCGGGTCGACACGATAACTAATCGGATCATTATCGGGTCACATGATAAGAACCAGTTAATAACGGGTCCTTAACAGGTTTACACAAGAGTGACACGCAGGTAACCCGTTTCGACACGTTAAGAAAAATGTTATTTTGATGATTTTAATTTTTTTTAAACTACTTTAAAAAAAAAACTTATTATAAAATACAATAGTCATAGTGCATATGTATATATATATTCTATATTAAAATATGTATTATTGTATTATTATTCTATATAAATTTAAAAAAAAATTAGTATACTAGAAGCAATAACTGAGATTAAAAAATTATAAAACACATTAAAAATAAAAATATCAAGTAATTTAAAAATACCAAACACATTTAAAAAAAGGAATTGTTATTGGCAATCCAAAAATCTCATTTGGCACTCCAAATTTTTTATAATTAGAAAGAAAAATATACTTATGAGGAGTGTAGAATGAGATTTTTGGAGTGTTAATAACAATTCCCTAAAAAACTAAAATAATTAATTTACAAATGCGAAAAAATGTGAAATAATATACAAATGCTCGTGTTCGCATAGACGCTTTGAGGATGGGTACTTCGTCGTTTGAATTTTTAAAACCATACAAATCCTCATGAATAGTATTTTTAAGGAGTTCAAAATAAACCAATATCATTTCCTTTGGTGATTGATGAAAATTGAAGGGTTTTATTGTAAAAAAAATGTGCAAGGTTTTGCATATGCACTTGGTATCTTATAGTAATGTACTAATACTTTTTCATTAGACTCTTATTTTGGGGTATGTAATGTTTAAAAAACAAATGTTGTTTTTATGTTTTGAAGTAATATTTATATGACAATGTGATATACATAGACAAATTTAGTATTATGTTTTTAATTTTTTGGGGTCAAATTATGTTTTTTATTTTCATTATTTATTAATTTAAAATATAGTTTCTTTAACAGATAACGAGTTAGGTCATTTTACCTGATAATATTAACAGGTCAATTTTGGGTTGGGTCATATTACCCATTTACTTTAACGAGTGTTACACGATATAATCCGTTAAGATATCGGGTACGTCATGAAAACAATATGAATACGAAAAACACAACACGAATGTAAGGTTTACTAACAAACTACAAGTGTTAACCGCAATTATTTGCATTGCAAACTACAAAAGTGGAACAAAATGGATTTGATGGATTTGACATTTTGACAACACGTTAGTTGTCTTGTTTTTATCGCAAAATGTCATCAACACCAAAGAAATTTACATTCTGAAAACAACATATAATACTTCAAATTTTCTGAATTTTATTGTTCACAAAATATGAAAAGGTAAAGATTTACTGTTCAGAAATATGAAAAAGTAAAGATAAAGGGAAGAATTTCTGTGTGAAAGTTAATTTATCTAGCATTACTTCAAATTAAAATGTCAAATTTCATTTTAATAGCTTATGTGTTAAAATAACATTTTGTAAAGTTTCTTATTCCCAACTGCTATGTCAAAGTAAAATGTTTTATTATTATTTATATAATCCAGATTTTAATAATCAAATAATTGATAATGAAAAAACAAATGTGAATCCAGCATCAAAATAAAATAAAAATTTTGACTTTGCTTTCAAATTTAATAGCAAAGTGAAGAATGTCAATCCATGTAGGATTTTGGCATCTCCTTTTCATTGTGAGCGGAATACAAATGGAACATCACGTATTTTTATATAAGTGATGAAATAAGTTATTAATTTTTTAACACACATATCACACCATTTACATAGTAACATGTAATGTATCATCCCATGTTCCAGTTATACTGAAAAATCTTTTCTCCTTTAGAATCAAAAACTCCTTTTTTTTTTTTTTTGTCAAAAACAGTTCTCATAAAATTTTTGACATCTTCTGTGAATGGTCAAAGCATTCATTTTCTCTCGCTCGCATTCAATTCTCTCAACGGCTTTCTCTTTTAATATTTTTTACCATTAATAATGAGAGTAATGTATGAATTATTTAGCAGAGAATGGATCAAGATCCTCTCCTGAACTTAAAAAACTATGATGGTTGAAATTTGATTCAATAGCTATAATTATTATAATTTTTAAAGAACCTCCTATTTATAGCCGTTTGATCAAATTTCAACAATCACGATCGTCTGCTTAACAGGTTCAATTTTTTAAGGTCAGGAGAGGATCCTGATCCAGCAGAGAATTCATCAAATCCCTGTTTACTTTTGCTTTTGATTTTTTATTTATTCAATTTAAATATAAAAAATAAACATGCGCATGCAAAGAAAAAAAAATGTGCTGAAATCATTAAAAAAAAATTGGTACGTAGTTACCTACCTGTCAAAGACGGCAAATTCAGAAACAAGAGTTTTGTAGACAGCAACCATATCAGGATCGAATCCATTCATAACGTCCTGAGACATGGCGGTGGTGTTGTCCATGGAGTAAGCCTGCTGAGCAAACCCATTCATGGGAGGCGGGTCGGCCGCCGTGTTATCCGACCCGAATATCTGCTCTCGGATGGCTTGGAAGGAGTGACCAGGATCAGGGTCCACATAGAGAGACTCGTTCTTGAAGAAGAAGCGCTTGGAGTTGGGGTCGGTGGTGGAGAGAGGGTTGGACTCGGAGCCGTCCACTCCGTTGATTTCTGGGTTGATTTTCTTCATCCACCCTAGCATGTGGTCGAACGACCTGTTCTCCATCACTAGAACAACTATATTTTTTATGGGATTGGCATGGACTGGACTATAGAGTCCTACGAGCAGTTGGAGAAGGACGGAAATGGCGGCGGCGACTGCCATTTTAGAGTTACGGATTGGACTGGACCGGATTGGATTGGATTGGATTGAAGGACTTAAATTTGTGTGTTGTGGTGAGTAATGTGACTAAATTAATCACTGTTGCATGGCGAGAGAGAGAGAGAGAGAGAGAGTTGGAGATGGCGAGCCCGTGAGTACCTGGTTTTTATAGGGCGAGTGGTGATGGCAGTGCATTAAGTAATTGCCTAGATTTGGAGATATGATTTTTTTATTTTTTTTATTTTTTTAAACGATAGAATTATTAGATTAGACGTTAAATTAAGAATAAAGTATTTCGAGACCAAGCTTCTCGGTTTTCTTATTTTGGGTCGGGGCACGAGGACAACATGTCACGGCCTCGCAGAGTGGGGCTTTTTCAGAAATTTACCCTCTCAGATTTTATCTCTTTTCCTTTTTTTTTTAATTTAAGATATAGCTCGTGTACATAATTGAATTGAAATAAGTGCGGCACTATTTTAATGTATTTTAATCAAATTGGAGGTAGGAGAATGATTAGTCAAGGAGAATCCTCTCAAAATGGAAGAATTATAAGGAATTGAGAGGTTTAAAAGAGAACAAAAAAATTTCATGTCTAATCCTCTTCTAATCATTTTTACCAAACAACCCCTAATAAATTAAAATGATGTAAAGGTAAATGAAAGATTTCCAGTTTAGAAAATTTAATTAATATTTATGGCCAAATCCGTTGGCTAAAATATTCCTAGGTGCATAAGAGAAACTGAATTTCACATAATTTTGTGAATGAATTTCAATTGATACATTGTATTGTCCGGTTCATTGTATTCTTCTCATTTTTGCAAAGGGTTTTTTTTCCTATGTCTGGAAAGAAAAACAACGTAAAAATAAATTGTGGTAAGACCTTAAAACCATAAATATATATATATATATATCAAAATTGAAGCTAATGAAAAATTACAGCGGAAGAATTACTAACATTCCCCTAATTTTGCAAATTCTTAGTTTGTCATTTTACCTTGTGAATGAAGTTTGATAACGATATGGTTAATTTAATTATGTGTTTGATATTTTAGTTTGGTGAAACAAAACCATTTAACACAAATGTGGAAATGGAATATTATCTTTCTAGAACATGTAAGCTCTAGCCACTCAGTACTACGGTATGGTGATATTCATTTTCACTTGTAGGTAAGAGGTCGTAGGTTCGAATTTCGTAAATGGCGAATTCAAAACCAAATTAGGTTGCCCATTGTGTAGCTTAGCTGAACTCTCCCTCCCATTAGTGTAAAATATATCGTTGTACTAAAAAAAGAACACGTAAGCTCTATACATAGTCATCATCTATTTGGAGATGTTCAAGTTCCATCTTCACAAACAATGAAAAGTGGTATTCCTATTCACTTGTAAGTGAGAGGTATTAGGTTCGATTCCCGCCAAAGGCGAATTTGAACCACATTATTGATAGTCTATTGTGAGGTTAAGCACACCAACCTCTCTTTAGTGTTATAATATCATTTTTCAAAAAAAAAATTACACAACGAAAAATGCTGACATCGTTCTCCCGGTTGGGTTTTTTTTTTTTTTTTTTTTTTGGTTCAACAAAGTAAAACTCATTGAAAGAGAAAGTTATGACAAGGTAAGGACAATACAAGAGAGAGTCAAAGATAACCAAGCAAAAATCCAACTCCACAAAAGAAAATTACAATGAAAAGGCCTTAGCTAAGCAGCCCATAGCAACATTCCAACAAAAAAAACCTAGATTTGAAAATGTAAAGTAGCCACCTCCACCCAAACAGCTGCACCAACACCGCAAAGTCGTCGCCACCACTTGGGAGAAAGACCAAAGAACCAACATGATGAACGGAAAATGGTGATAGGCAAGCTACTCGTGCCATAATCCTACCAAATAGTGCACTTAGCATTATAAATGCTCCCAACCACCGAAGTGTGCCAGCGGAGGTGATTCTTGGAGGAGGCACTCGATAAAATGAGTAGCATGGGTAGATGGTGGAGGATTCAGGTTGAGGAGCAATTTTTGGAGAGGAAGAAGGCATAAGAAAACGATCTGAGACAAACTTAGAGCAAATTGAGATGCAAAACGCTCAAAGTGATGGCAGCCGAAAGCTAAGGGCATTAAAAGATAATCCAAGACCACCATCAGTAGTGGTTTGTTGTAGGAAAAGGGGGAAGCAAATCCCCAAGGAAGGATGGGGGAAGGAAGGAAAAATAGAGGGGGAGTCGGAGGGAGGGGTGGAAACCAAAAATAGGGAAGGATAAGGGAAGGGAGGAATCAGAGGATGGGAAAAAAAGGGTAAGGGGGAGGAGGGCTAGAAGGGGGTGGGTACTATCGTACTAGGCTGCTGCCGACTCTAAGCTAAACCAAGGGGCCTACGGCCAAGGGGCTCTTAGAGGTAGGGTTTTTTAGGAGAAAGGGAGAGGGCGCGTGGTTCAATCATTGAAAAATGGTAATGTTATTAGTTGGTTTTTCTCTCTTTTGATTTCATTGTTTCTTCAAATATGAAATAAGTATTACAATGGATCAGAAAACACTAATTTTTTTCACTCATTTTATAGACACGCTCCATAATATACTTTAATGATCCAAACGTTCATCTTTTAGATTTTCCCTCAAAGTTCATGTCACCAAATATCACCCAAATCCAAAACTATATGACCATTAGATTAAAATGATAGTCATTTTAGTATTTTTTTTTTTTTTTGCATAAGCGTATTTGTTTATTTTCTTCACTCCAAACGAATGTTTTAATGATTTTGGATTTGTATTATTTTTTTTCCAATGATGATCTATGAGTGATGAATTGAAACAATATATGGTTCGGATCGTTAAAAGAAGTTATGGGATAAACCGTACAAATTGAGCACCAAAATGTGTGTAAAAAAAGTATATGTCCTCAATCTTAACCCATTACCAAATAAGTTTTGGTTAAATTAGAATAATAGTCCCCATGATGATAAGCAGTGTTCTAAAAATCAGCCTAGGCGGTGAAGGCCCGCCCCGATTTTGGGCAAATCGTTTCGAAATATTGGTCTGGAGCTAGGCGGTCCTAGGCGGCTCCTAGGCGGAGAGTTGGGCGGCACCTAGGTGGTTTTTTTTATACTTTTTATTAATTGTGTGCCTTTTTCTTGTTTGGTTTCATGGTGGCATACTTATGGAAATGGTGTACCTAATTTGCAAATGATAGATTTACTACAAGTTCATCCAATAGTGAAACGAATTGGAGCAGTTTTGAGGGGATACATACAAAGAAAAGAAATAAACTAGATACAACAAGGTTAAATAATTTAGTCTATATCCAATCCAATGCAAGGATCATCATTCATGAACAAGAAGAATTTAGTCTATCATCCAAATCCTCCTCATTATGATTATATGCTTACTGTTTTTTAAATATTGAACTTTTTGGATGTATATAACTTGTGTATTCTTCTACTTCTATTTTTTCATTTTATCATTCTTTTATTTTCCATACAAGTATATGTTTTTTTAGGTGTAAATAGGCACTTATTTACAAGATATGTAATAAATTTACATAAATCCACCTAGGCGATAGGCCTCTGCCTGTCGCCCAACTAGCGCTTAGCAATTTTTAGAACATTCGAGCCTAAAACTAACATTTTCGTCAACTCTCCATCCAACCTTCATAACCAAAAGGGAAAGAAAAAAAAAAACAAAAAAAAACTCATTCATCCGAGGCTATGAATTTTTTCCATTCAAAGCTACTATATTTTTTTTTCTTGTAGCACTACAATCTAATTAACATTGAAAATTTTAGTTATCCTTTTCTTATGTGGAAACTTTAATTGAATTGCTTATTTGGTAATTCTATAAAAAAATAAAAATAAAAATAAAACTGGATTTAATAGGCGATATAATTCTTTGCTTCATGCTTCAATTCCATTCAAAGCTACTATATTTTTTTTTCTTGTAGCATTACAATCTAATTAACATTGAAAATTTTAGTTATTGTTGTAAACATTCCTAGAATAAGTATGATTGTGTAAATCCTAGATTAGATTTGATTCTAGTTATCCTTTCCTATTACAACTTGTATTACTTGGAGGAGAAGGAATATCTTCTCTCCCTTTACTACTATAAATAAAGGCACAATGTAGGAGGGATAACAACACACACATTCCCCTACAATTCTACAAACACACATCTATCTTCTCTCTCTCTGCCACCGGCCCTCTCCCCTTTGTCAGATAAAAATAGACCACAACACGTTATCAGCACGCTCCTACCGCTGCGCTTAGGAATCTGACGTTGGAGATTTTTTCTGCATCAAACCAGTTCATCTATATCATCACGCAATCAGGTTCTTTCCAAACAACGGTTTTTAACTCGATATTTTGCAAGCCCTGATAGCATGAACATTCACCATGATGCATGACCCAACTTTACGTTTAACGTATTTTAGATTCTACATAAATTGTGTATGCTTCATAACCAAAATTGCTACAATTATGTGAATTTGATATTTGTCATGAATTGAATCTTACATATGTATATGCATTGAAACTATTATTTGCATATGCATCAACGTAAATATGTGATTCATTGAATTTTACATGCATATAATTATATTTGAATTGAAAAAAAATATTTTTTTTTGCGATTTGGGAATTAGGGTTCTAAGTTGAACTCGTGCACTTGCACCATGCAAGCCGCAAGCCACCAGGCCCGCAGCCTGCGATAGCCCAACCCAAAACCACGGCTGGAGTTTCTGCTCCTCGTCCAAACTCGTGACCCCCATTGGAAACCTGACGCCTATGGCGTCCCAAACCCAGAAAATCCGACATGGTGTCGTGATATTCAATCCAATCTCACTGAAATTCCTGAAGAATTTTATCTAATTTGTATGAAATTTCAGTTTAAATTTCATTAGGTTTTCCGCGATTTCGATTCGAAATCCACTATGGTTTTTCACACCCGCAAGCATTGGACACCAAGGTGCGTTTGAAGCACCTTGTCCCGACCTTGGAAACGTCGCCTGCAGCGACGCCGTCGACTGACTCCGGCCTTCTTCCTCGGCCACGCACACCCAGCGCCGCTGGGTTTGTTTTGTCCTGTAACCCGAGCCCTAATGGGCTCCTGTCCCTCGGCCTGCATCAGCGCCTTTGGGCTTGCTAATGCTTTGAGATGTCACGGCCCAGCCCGTGCACAAAGAAAAAAAACAATTTTTTTGTCCTCTGGGCTCGCCTGCAAAGGCCCAGATCGAAAAAAAAAAAAAAAAATCTTTTTTGTTTTTTGGGCCAGCCTGAAGCGG